AGAAGCGCTCAGAAATCTGTGAGCTGCTGTTTAATTCACTAACGCCAGGCATTAATGGTAATTCCTAAAATTACTAGAGGCACATTGCACGCATGCAAAGGTGAAGTTATTGTGCTTGAAAGTGAAAATGCAAGAACACCAGTAAAGAAAGGAAAACGAAAAGAAACACCTGAATGACGAAAGTAAAGGGCCCGATTCTGTGGATGAGTCCTGAAAAAAGAAACACTGACTCGGGAGCCGACAAGGAAGGGTCAATTGGTCGGTCTGATCTTCTGGAATGGGATGTTTACCTACGGTGAAAGCGCCTCGAGACGTTGAGTTCAAAGCTGTTCTTGTTATGTGTGGAACGGTATCTTGAAAAGTTATGAAGCAGTTGCGCGCGGCTGTTGTGACCCCGACTTAATGACAAGAGATCACAGGATTGACTTTTCTGCGAGCCCGTACATTTGCTCTTTCAAGAATGCTGTATTAAAATCTTTGCAGCTATAAGGATACGTAGAAGAAGATGAGACCAGGCGGTAACCGTGCACAGACGCCTTCGAGGCTTTCTTTTTTGCCTTTCTTCCTACGCCTTCCTCGAACCTATAACTAATGTGAAAATGAGCGACTGGGGTGGACACTGCTATGGCGAGATAGAGGTCATTCCTTAGCTAGCTGCATTCTTCCCAATTTTACTTTATGACCCCAGATTTGTTTTTTCAAAGCAGTAATTGCAAATCAGAAGATATTGCTCTATTTGGATATAGTTCTGCCTCAAGAATCTGAAATCTGATTTGAAAAACTTGGTTTTCGAAAGAGATTTTGAAGAGTCATCAAATTTAGTAAATGAACTTCCATAAATAGATTTTTAGGCCCTGTGTGGATAAATGATATGGAGGTTTTATTACTTAGAATTATGAAATAATTTCAAAGAAATTAAATGGGGTGTGGAATTGAAAATTAGTAGTTACTTTACAACGCCTGTATCTATGTTCCATCATTGAACCTTCAGTGGAAAGGGTAAAGAAAACACAGATTTGCTTTCATTCCATCAAAACCACGAGTCCTTATCTTTCTTACAAATGGCCGTTGGGTCTCCTACCCAATTTTCTCACCAGAAAATGCGCCCCGCTCCGTGTTGAGGATTGATGGAATCTGTTTTATAGAAAGAAAACTTACAATGTTCCTTGCGATTCCTTCGGAAATGAACCTTTGCTTTATACAGATCGTTTTCTTTGACTGACTCACAGAATCCGCAATCATTTTTGGACAAAGGTGTAACAGCGAAGCTCTGTGCGCTGTGCGTGCGCCAGATCCTCATGGCAGGATCTGGCGCACGCAGGACAAAGGGAGATTTACAGTTACCAATCCTGACATGTACAGGGTTGGGGTGCTCCTTGTGTGATTTACAATCGGTAATCCCGCCCCGCTTTATGCTATAACCTATGTATGTTAGGTCTGCTCACTTGTCATTGAAGGTTTTTTTTGTCTGCGCAAAGTGGATTTCTTCCCATTGTTTTTGGATGTCTTCCAATTTCTATTGCTTTCTGATTCTCTAATTGATTGAGAAAAGTCATAAATATTAATACCCGAATTCATTTTTTTCAGGATTTCGAAGCAAAAATGTCTTGTAGACATGATGCTGTTTTTGACTTACGTTATGAATCAGGCTTGGAAGGGGAGGGTTCTGGTTGGGACTCGGAAGATAATTTTTATCGCGAGAACGCTGGTTCTGCTGAGGTATGTATGGAGAACTTTCCCTTCCTCTCAAAGAATTTAATTGGTTTATTTTAGCCAAAATATTGTGGAGAACGATGCAAGAGGTTAGCTGAGGAAGGTCAATACTTGGCCGATGAACTGCGGAGAGCCAAGCAATATAAAAGGGCTCTGGAGTTTGAAGGAAAGATTCTCGAAGAACAAGCGAGTTTTCAGAAATACCTCAATGAGCAGAGCAGGCGCCGCATCGAAATGGATAATGAGCTCTCCCGAGTTCTTCAAGAAGTGAGTATCATATTTGCCCTTTTTCATTTTTTTTCAGAACTTGAAATTTTTTCAGGAGAACAAGATTCTGCTTGCTCGAATCCGTACATATCTGCCTTCCTTCGAACCAACAGATCTGATGCCTGACTTGCCCACCACAACTGAGAGCGATGTCGCAGAAAGCGAATGAATGAGCGATGGAATATTCTCGACATTTTTGCATAAAATGTTCCGTTAATGATTGCTAATTCTTGATAAAATGTACTGCTTTTGTTCCTTTTGAAAAACTGAAATCGTTGTCATTGTAGGACCTACTTAGGGTGCGCCATGCATCCGAATTTCAGTGAAAATCGGAGAAACTTCAGTTATTATTGTACATCAACCTTTAGAAGGATCATTCGCTCCTAAAAGCCATTTCGAAGGTACTGAATAACTTCCAAAGCACCTAATGGAAAAGTGCATAAAGTAAGGAAGTGATTAGGGGGGGGGGTGCCACCACAGGATGTGAATGTGTGAATGTATTGGTGAGCAAAGGGATAGCAGTAGAGAAGAAAGGAAAGATCAGTCGAACAGGCTTAGGAAGGGCTGCACTATCGTATCAGCTGTGATGTCGCTTTGCAGCTTGACACTCGTCTTGGTGGGATTGTTCGATTGCACCGAAACCTCTCTTGAGATTTTCCTTCGAGGGTCTATCCTACAGGATCGAGAGATCGTTCGCATGATTCACTGTGATCAGTTGGTGCCTTCCACGGAACACTGCTATACTCTGAGGGTTTCCCGGATTTTTGGCGTCTAGTGTCCTATAGGTTGTATTGATAACTTGTGGAAATATGGATAAGCTATTGTGCTATAAAGCGTATCCTACTTCGGGTTGCGACTGGATTGAGACCGTTCCTCTATTAGCCAAGGGCATAGAAGCATAGTAGTGCCAAAGGGTTATGGTCTACAATCGTATACCGTAATATATGTATGTTGGATAGTTTTCTTCTTATAAACAATGACAGCTACATATCAAAACGTCCAAGGAATTACAGATTACAGCAGCAGTGAATCAAATGAGGTATGGATATTGTCACTGCGCTGATTTCACATGACATCAGACCATGGGAAAAAAAATCTCGTAGAGTCAAAGAATAAGTTTGCCCAACCATACGTTTCTTGGCTGGTTTTCTCATACATTCGCAGTAACGTGGCCAACCCTTCTGTTAAGCATTTAAGAAGTTCAATCAACTAAAAGTCTCGGTAGGCTTGCTGGGCAGTATTGTGAAAAGGCAGCACCGAGTGTGAGCTCGAGTCCTCCTTCACAAGGCTTTCTCTTTTGCTAAAAACATGCACCGCTGTGGCGATTTCCGCACCACGAACTTCTGAGAAAATCAAGTATAAAATAGAAGAAATAGATAATATGTATGAATGAAGAATAGAAAATAGTGCCGGTTGGTTGTCTCGATTGATAGGCTGTTGTCTTAGCGAATTCAGCCTTCGACGAGTTTCGCGAAAAATTCCAGATAGAGGGATACAGTTGCAAAGGAAGGGCAACACCACCTGACATGAAACCTCCATCTAAAATTTGCATCAACTCAGTGAGTTAAAGTAAAGCTCCGGTTGCCTCGGTAGGGCAGGGGCGCGTTAACACAGTGATGGAAAGGCTCGATCCTCTCATGCGAGTTTTTGACTTGTTTCAACCTGCGGGAATATTGTGAAAGATATCAGTGAAGTCAATTTGGGCTTTCCTCTTGTAGCGTCATGTACCTGGGGAAAGTATTTTAAATATGGCGAGGCTTACACAAAGGTTCCGCAAAAATGTTCCAATTTCCCAATATTAACGTTTTTACATGTCGACTAAATTGTGTTACAATCATATAATTATGTTATGTTTAAATTATTATAATTATGTCATCGATTACTGTAATCCATGGGAGCACCTCGAACCATTCCCATGGGAAGCCTCTACGGCGCCGTTGATTATAGTGCGCCCGTGAAAATCCATTTCGCAGGAGGGGGGGGGGGGGTACTCCATCGTTTTCCAATGCTTACGCTCAGAATGATAACGTTCCTGACACCTGATCGATCATTCATTGTGTACTTTTAATAAGCACCGGTGTAGCGTAGGCGATCTCCTGAAGTGCTTCCACAGTTTGGTCCGCAATGGACCAAGGAAACGGTCCTGAGGAAGGGGAGTGAAGAACATTGCCTAGGCCTAATGGTGAAGGAGTTGTAAGTTCGCATTATAAGTTCTATTGTTTTCTGTGACTAAACCTTACAATCTAGTAGACATCATTGATATTAGTGAGACAGCGAAGCTCTGAGCGCTGTGCGTGCGCCAGATCCTCATAGCAGGAGAGGGCGAAGGAAGATTTACAATTATCAGTTCTGACATGTACAGGGTAGGGATGCTCCCTATGTGATTTACAGTCGGTAGTCCCGCCCCGCTTCCTGCAATAGCCTGGGTCAGGAGCTCACCTATCATTCAAAGTTTCGTACTGGCTGTGCTGAGGTGGCTCTTTTCTCATATTTACTATTCTCAGTTCTACCACTGATTTCCTAATTGATTAAAGAAAGGTAGGAAATAATTTGTATCTAATTTTTTCAGGATTTTGAAGCAAAAATGTCTTGTAGACCTGAAGCTGTTCTTGGCTTATGTTACGGAACAGGCTTGGAAGTTGAGGATTCTCGATGGCACCCGGAGGATAATCTTCATTGCGAGAACAGTGGCTCCACTAAGGTACGTGAGAATAATTGTCCCTTCCCTTCAAATAATTTGATGGTCGATTTTAGCCAAATTATTGCGGAGAACGATGCAAGCGGTTAGCTGAGGAGCGTCAACACTTGGAAGCTGAACTGCGGAGAGCCCAGGAATATGAAAAAGCTCTAGACCAATCTTTAAAAGAGGAAGCGAGTTTTCGGGAATACCTCAATGCGGAGAGTAGGCGCCGCATCGAAATGAACAATGAGATCTCCCGAGCTCTTGAAGAAGTGGGTATCACATTCGCCTTTTTTCGTTTTTTTTTCAAAAGATGAGTTTTTCTCAGGAGAACAAGATTCTGGTTGCTCGAATCCGTGCGTATCTGCCTTCCTACGAGATGACAGATCTGACCGCTGATATGCCCATCACAAGTGAGAGCGATGCCGCAGGAAGCGAATGATTAAGCAGCGGAATATTCACGACATTTCTTAATAAAATGTCCTAATGATTGCTAATGTTTAATAAAAAAGTTCCGTTCTCGTTTGTTCCACAATAAAATCATTCAAAAACGTTGATGTTAAGTGACCTCGCTAGTGCTGCGCCATTTATTCATAATTCAGGAGAAAAGACACAAATTTCGGTCGCTGTTGTCCGTGAACCCATCAAACGTCATCAGTTTGTGAAAGTCATTTTAAAGAAAGCTGAAAATTCTCGAAACACCCAACGGAAATAGTGCATTGGGTTAGGAAGTGATTAAGGAAATTGGGTGACCTGTTGCTTTACCATTCTGGCACTTGGCTGTACATCACTGTTGACATTGCTTAACCTGTGCAAGTCTGAATACTAAGGATGAAGAGTAAGGCATTTGCCGTTGATCAATCCCTTTTTGGGATGCGGCACGCATTCTACTTCCATTTGTACATTGCAGCATTTGAATGCGATGTGGCCTATACAATGACTTGCGGGGGCCAGCCGATGTACAAGTCAGTGTTTTTATCCTCCCAGACAAGTCTGGTACCAATTAACCGACCCCGGAGGGATGGAAGGCTTGGTTGGCCCGGGCGACTCACGACCCAGGATTTGATCCCCGGACCGCTCGCGTGGTAAGCGTGCCACTTGCCACTACACCACTTCCGCCCTGATTATGAAAAACTACGCCATGATGAACATTGATCACTATTCATTTGGGCCAGGCACGAATATGTTATGTGTTATATGGCCAGTCTCTTTTAGATGCGCCATACATTTGAAGAACGTTCTGTATTATCCAAGGGATTGAAATGCATGCTCGGCCCAAAATTGAATTGTGATCGATGTTCATAATGGCGCATTCCTTCTACATAGAAGCGATGCCAAGTACGCATTTAGGTCCAGGGGATTATAAATCACACCAACAGTGGAACAAATAAGTTATAGATCTCACTATTGCGCTGAAATCACATGACATGAGACCATGGGAAAAATTATTTCGTAGGCGTCAAAGAATAAAGTCTTCCGGCCATTTTGATTCTTGATCAGTTCCCATACATTCGCGGTGACCGTGACCAACCCTTCTGTCGAGCTTCTGAGGAGCTCAATAAGCAAAACATTCAGAAAGCTTGTTGGGCAGTGTTGTGAGCTAGGTCAGCACCAAAAGCGGGGTCGGGTCCTATTCAAAACTACTCTTTTGCTGAAAACGCACCTGTCTTTGTTGTATTGTGGCATCTTCCGCATCAAAAACTTCTAACAAAACCAAGACTTATTGGAAATATTGCGGATTTTTACTTATTTTTGCATGTTAGCTGTAGCCTTGCCAACATTTTGCCATGCGACAGTATTTGCAGGGATTCTAGGTTATGAGCAAAACAATTCGTCAGAAGGCAAAAATTGAACCAGCACCTCTCGCTCACCACGTCAAATGTTTATTGACTGCTGGGTTAAGGTGAAGTGGTGTCTCGGTAAGGTAAACTGTAGCACAGTTATTCGAAAAGCAAGAAGGTTGTGCTTGATCCCCGCGTAATGCGGAGTGTTCTGTCCTCATTCCAGCGTCCTTGTGAAAGTTTGTGCAGAAAAGCTAATCTGTGAATTCAATGGTCTTGCTCTTGAGCTTCATATAGCTTTTTGAAAGTATTTTCACATGACCGACCTGAGCAGAAAA